CCATTTGGATGAGGACTCAGAGGCTTCCAGTTTGAGGAAACAGGATCAGCTGAGAAGTTGGGAAGATGAGGTTAGCTGTGGCTTGTTCTTCTTCTCTGATCTTTCAGAATTCACCCCAATACCTGGCTCCTGAGCTTTTTATTAATAAGACCCATTAATATTCCTGTTACAATGGGTCATGCATGACCAGTTTTTTTTTTTTTTTTTTCCAGAGCTGAGGACCGAACCCAGGGCCTTGCGCTTGCTAGGCAAGCACTCTACCACTGAGCTAAATCCCCAACCCCCAGCTTTTTTTTTTTTTGTACTAGTGATTGAATGTAGGACCTTGTAGATAAGCCTAGGATTCTTCATCTAGACCAGGCTGCCCTTAAACTTGCAAGGTTCCCCCTGCCTCCTCCCAAGTAATGAGATTATAGGTGAGACACACCAGGATGTTTTAAAATTTGAATTGAGCTGTGTAACTGAGTAAAAAAAAAAAATCACAGTGCCTTACAGGTAGTGGAAGGCATGTTTTCTCATGAACTGTCATGAAGCTGCATCTAAAATTATACATCTATTAACATACATGTGGTGGTATTGTGTTCCCCAAAATATTGTGTACCCTAATAAACTTATCTGGGGTCAGAGAACAGAAAAGCCACTAGATACTTAGGATAGGCAGTGGTAGCACACACCTTTAATCCTAGCATTCCAGAGGCAGAAATCCATCTGTTCAAGGATACAGCCAAACATGGTGACACACACCTTTAATCCCAAGAAGCGAGCCTTTAATCCCAGGGAGTGATGGTAGAAAGCAGAAAGATATATAAGGCGTGAGGACCAGAAACTAGAAGCATTTGGCTGGTTAAGCTTTTGGATTTTGAGCAGCACAGTTTAGCTGAGAGCCATTTGGACATGAGGACACAGAGGTTTCTAATCTGAGGAAACAAGATCAGCTGAGAAGTTGGCCAGGTGAGGTTAGCTGTGGCTTATTCTGTCTCTCTGATCTTTCAGTATTCACCCCAATAACTGGCCCTGGGTTTGATCTTATTAAGAACTTTTAAGATTCTTGCTACACATGCATAATTGTTTATATGCTGCATGTGTTTCTTATGTGTGTACTATATCACAAACAGTGGTTTGCTGATAAATGTTTAATATAATGAGCTCTCATGAAGAACATATAAGTATATACATTTATAGATTTATTATAAACTTTCTAAAAAATAAAAATCTCTCCGTATAAAGACTGGTGCACATGACTTATAAACAATGAAACATACAACACTCTTTTTGTTTGTTTTTTGAGAAGGGTGGTCTCATGTATCTCAGGCTTGCCTTGAACTCACTGTGTGGCTGAGCCTCTACCTTTAGTGAGCTGGGATTACAGGCATGTCCCACCACATGCAGTTTATGTAGTGTTAGGTCTTGAACCCAGGATTTCATGCATTCGAGTGAAGCATTCTACCAACCAAGCTACAGCTCCTACTCCTACTGGATTCTTTATTGTAAATATAACTCACTGACTGACGCTTGCAATTTTATTGATTTTTTGCTGGACATTTGTTTCCATAGCCCACCTATGGTTTCAATTCAGCTACCCATTGACTGACAAATGGAGTCATGTCCCGATGAAAACAGTCAATGACAAATAAAACCCTGCTTGTAGCACTTGCCAATTTCCTTAGTGTAAATACCTTCATTGTGGCTGATTTCAAGCTTCCTGTGTGATGTCACAGAGGTGGGAAGAGAGCACAGAGGCAGGCATAACAGATGCCAGTGAGCTCAAGAGCACAGATAAGCTGGGTACGATGGCACATGTCTGTAATCCCAGCAGCCAAGAGGGGGGCGGAGACAGGAAGATGGCCACCAATTCGAAACCAGCCATCTCTACATAGTGAGTTCCAGGCCAGACAGGGCCACATAATAAGATTGTGTCTCAAAATAGACAAACAAGAACATAAATAATAATAAAATGTAGTGAAATAATTAGAAAGTGATGGGTTTGAGGTTTTTTTTTTTAAAGATTTATTTATTTATTACATATACAGTGTTCTGTCTGCACGTATCCCTGCAGACCAGAAGAGGGTGCCAGATCTCATTACAGATGGTTGTGAGCCACCATGTGGTTGCTGGGAATTGAACTCAGGACCTTTGGAAGAGCAAGCAGTGTTCTTAACCTCTGAGCCATCTCTCCAGCCCGGGTTTGAGTTTTTATCTTAATTTTAAGTGTTAGTTTATATACTACAGTGGCTAAGGAAGGACTCATGGTTGGGAATCCTGATGCTGACACCCAACTTCACAGGCTAGGAGCTTAGCTATGGGACAAAACTGAGCGACTTAGTCACTAAGTACCTCATGTGAACTCCGCTAGCCTCCAGGCCCCAGGATTTCAGTCAACAACATGGTTGTTTTATTATTACATTTATTTATTTGTGGGTGGGTGGGGGTGGGTGGGTGGGTGGGGGTGTATGCATGAGTGAGTGTGTGAAAAACTTATGGGAGTTGGTTCTTGCCTTTCACAATGTGGGTCTTAAGGATTGAACTCAGGTTATTTGGATTGACAGCAAGTGCCGTTACACGCTGTCTTAGTTAGAGTTTCTATTGCTGTGAAGAGACACCATGACCACAGCAACTCTTATAAAGGAAAACATTTAATTGGGGTGGCTTACAGTCCATTTTCCTCATGGTGGGACATGGCAGTGTGCAGTCAGACATGGTGCTGGAGAGTTCTACATCTTGTGCAGAAAACAGGAAGTGGTCTGAGACAATGGGTGTGGCTTGAGCATATATGAGGCCTCAAAACCCACCTCCACAGTGACACACTTCCTCTAACAAGGCCATACCTACTCCAACAAAGCCACACCTCCTAATAGTGCCACTCTCTTTAAGCTTGGGGTGTAGGTAGAGTTTTCCTGCCTGGCCCACAGTCAGGACAAATCTCTCTCACCTGCCAGTCCCACAGCCTCTCAGACCCGACCAAGTAAACACAGAGACTTATATTGGTTTCAAACTGTATGGCCATGGCAGGCTTCTTGCTAACTGTTCTTACAGCTTTAATTAATCCATTTCCATTAATCTATACCTTGCCACATGGCTTGTGGCTTACCGGCATCTTCACATGCTCTTTGTCATCGTGGCGGCTGGCAGTGTCTCTCTGACTCAGCCTTCCACTTCCCAGCTTTATTCTCCTCCTTGTCCCGCCTACACTTCCTGCCTAGCCAATGGCCAATCAGTGTTTTATTTATTGACTAATTAGCAACACATTTGCCATACAGAACATCCCACAGCATTGGGGGGAGGCAATTACACTCAAACTATCACACATGCTGGGCCATCTCTCCAGGATCACTGTGGTGGTTTGAATGAAAATGGTCTCCATTGACACATATATTTGAATGCTTGGTCCCTAGTTGGTAGAACTATTTGGGAAAGATTAGGAAGTGTGACTGTGGTGGAGGAGGTATGATGTTTCAAATGCCCACCCATCCCCAGTTAGCTCTCTCTTTCTAGTTCTCTCTTTTTTCTCTCTCCTTCCCTACCCCCTTCCCCTGCCTGGAAGCTGTGTCTCAAGACGTGAGCTCTCAGATACTTCTCCAGGACCATGTCTACCTGCCTGCTGCCATGTTCCTAGCTGTGATGGTCATGGACTCACCCACTGAAACTGCAAGTTCCTGTGACAATTTGAATAAGCATGGCCCCCAAAGGCTCATACATTTGAATCCTTAGTCACAAGGGAGTGTAACTCTTTGACAGAATTAGAAGGATTAGGAGGTGTGGCCTTGTTGGAGGAAGTGTGTCACTAGGAGTAGGCTTTGAGGTTTCAAACGCCCATGCCAGGCCCAGTGACTCTCTTTGCCTGTGGATCAAGGTGTAGCTCTCAACTACTCCTCCAGTGCTATGCCTACCATGCCTATTGCCAAGCTGCCCACTATGGTGATAGTGAATGAAACCTCTGAAGCTGAAAGCAAGCCCCCAATTAAATGCTTTCTTTCATGAGTTGCCTCGATCATAGTGTCTCTTCACAGCAATGGAACAATGACCAAAATGGTCCCCTATAAACTCTTTCTTCTATAAGTTGCCTTGGTCATGGTGTTCTATCACAGCAATAGGAAAGTAACCAAGACATCCACATTTTTTTTTTTTTTTTTGGTTTTTTTCGAGACAGGGTTTCTCTGTGTAGCTTTGCGCCTTTCCTGGAACTCGCTTTGGAGACCAGGCTGGCCTCGAACTCACAGAGATCCGCCTGGCTCTGCCTCCCTAGTGCTGGGACTAAAGGCATGCGCCACCACCGCCCAGCGACATCCACATTTTAAATAAAAATACATTCACCAATTTAAATGTTAAATGGCTGAGGCAAGAGGATTTCAGGAACTACAGAGTAAAACCCTGACTCATAAAAACAAAGTAGTGCTGGGCATGGTGGCGCACGCCTTTAATCCCAGCACTCAGGAGGCCAAGTCTGGTGGATCTCAGAGTTCGAGGCCTACAGAGGTCTACAGTGAGTTCCAGGACAGCCAGGACTACACAGAGAAACACTGTCTCTACAAAGCAAAACAAAAGTAAATAAAATTTAGTAATTATCTTGTGGGATTACTTTCCGACAAAATTTATAAAAATAAAATCTCAAACCCCTGTATCTGGATTACCATAAGGAACTCCCAAGTCCACAAACTACCTCTTAAGAAAGATGGATCTCTTGTTTGTATTTTGCAGATAAGAAAAGCAAGTATCCCACGGAGGTGTCCCTACGAGAAACCAAATGATGCTCTGACCGCTGATCTAATTCCTACTGAACTACATTTATTCTTCCCCAACCTCCAGCCAAAGCTCTCACACACTTAAGGAGAGCAGGTTGCCCAGGCTAAGAGCAACCTGCAGTACTTGAGCATGTCGCCTGGGGGCGCTCAGGTTAGAGAGGGAAGAGCGGCTCAGGTACACACCTTCACTCTGCATAGGCCACTCATGGCCACTAGAGGGAGAACGTGCTCCCCTCAGGGGGGCGGAGCTTGCGGGAAGCACGCATGCGCCCGGAGGGAGGTGGTGGCACCAGCCCGGGCGAAGGGCAAGACGGTGGCCGAGAGGGTTCTGGGAGGCGGACGGTGGCCGAGAAGGTCCGGCATGGAGCACCTGGAGCGCTGCGCGTGGTTTCTCCGCGGGACGCTGGTGAGGGCGGCGGTGCGGCGCTACCTGCCCTGGGCGCTGGTGGCCGCCATGCTGGCGGGCTCGGTCCTCAAGGAGCTATCCCCGCTGCCCGAGTGCTACCTGAGCAACAAGCGCAACGTCCTCAACGTGTGAGTGCACCAGGCTCCGGGTCCCCGCGCTCCAAAAAGCCGGTTCGCTGCCTGGGTGGGCGAGTCATCGGGAGGGATCTCTGTCTTGACAGCCGCGTTCGCGCGCGCGCGTGTCGGGACCCGGGGACCCTGGGAAAGCGAGTGACACTCGCGCGCCTTACGTTTGAGGATTCCGATTGTAGAGCCGAGTTGGCGGGCGGGTCGGTGACTGGGTTGTTGTGTATGAGGCGCACTGGAGTGCTACTCGCCCCCCCCCCCCAGTTGGCGCTGGCCCCTGTCCTGTTTGGGAGATGTCACCTCCCTCCTGCCGGCTTGTCAGACACCCATCCCCTAGCCCCTGTGACAAAAATCCCACCGTTGTTTTAAAGACTACCTCCAGACCCACTCACCACCCTGGAGAGTTTTTCCCTCTGGGCCGTATGTTGGTAAAAGAGTGAAGCCTTTCGTGCCGGTGACCTTTCTCCTGGATCTCCTTGGACTTTTCTCAGTCATCTAAAGTGCATGGCAGTTGCCCAGGAAAGCAACCCCAGCGGACTTCTTTGGGACATCTCTCTAACTCCGCCCACTTCTCTCCTAGTCTTTTAAAATACCTATATCGAAAGTTTATTGCACAAAACATCATTGCAGCAATATAGGGAGTTTAGAAGCTGAAACTGCTCCTCCGATGTGAACCTACCACTAGAGCTTCCAGCATGCTGAGAGTCTGCCTAACTCTTGTTATCTACGTAAAACCCTGTTTTCTTTTTTGGCAGCTGGGTCAGGTTTCTGGCACACCTTGGCTTTGGCAAGGCTTTCCTTATCAATGCCAGTGGAGGTTTTAGTGACAGGCTCTTTGGTGGTGTCTGAGAAACTCCTGGAATCTAGGGAAGAGGCATTCTGTCCTTGGCCCACCTCCATCCTTACCCACTTAGTGGCTGGGCTAAGAATAGAGTGTGAGGTTGATGGTTGCCTCCAATCTCTTTGTATCTTTTCTGCTGCTCACCCCCAGGTCAGCCCACCTTTCATGAGCACAGGGCAGGCAGGCGTGGCAGCTGTTGTTTTATCTGGCCTGATGCACCAGGAGCCCAGCAGGCTGGCCACTAGTCTGTTGTTTAGGGGTAGCCATGGATTCTAATGTTTTGTTCCAAGACATGGTGCTGATTAACGGGAGGGAACTGGCAGTGATTCCTTGAATCTGGGAGAGAGTTTAAGACCTGCTTGGTGCCCTCAGCTTTATCAGCTGAGGGAACTGAGGCCTGAAGGTACATTAACAGATAGAGTCAGAATCAGGATTTGAACCCTGGTTCTGTAGCTTGAAGTAAAGCTCTTCCTTATAGGACTTACCAACCTTGTAGGAAATAACCCTGGTGTGGTAGCAAAGGGCTTCGGGGCCGGCAAAGTGTGGCTCAATCTGAGTTTGCTGGTGTGTGTGTGGCCCTGGCAACGTATTCAGTTTTCTGAGCCTCCAGAGTCTGTCTATAAAATGGTGTAAAGTGGAATCCGTGGCTGATATATAGAACTGAATTGTATTGCAAAATAAAAATACAAATTAAAAAAAAATGGTGTAAAGTGAGAGTTAGGGGTACATCTCAGCTGATAGAGTGCTTCCCTAGCATGCACCCCAGGTTTGATTCCCAACACCACGTAAAACTGGGTGTGGGGGCACACACCCATAATGGCACTACTAGGGAGGTGGAAACGGGAGGATGGTAGTTCAAGATCATCCTCAGCTACATAGGCAGTGTGAAGCCAGCCGGGGCTATACTTAGATAAATGACCCTTTCCTCCTCAGCTAGTTGTGAGTGTTCTGTGGAAGTGACTGTGTGTGTAAACACATCTAACATTTGATAGATGCTCCGTTACTGCTTTCCTGAGCAAAGAGCACAACTGGAATGTTGCAGGTCCTGGATGTGAACCCCAGTCCACCACTAATGACTCTGCTCTGTCATGACACGTCTATATGGCTTAAAGTCACCTTACAGAGTTACAGATGAACTAATTTCACTGCTCAGGAAATAAAGCGTGTGTAAGCATGTAGTAAGGATTCAAACACGGTACCTGTTTGGATGGACAGCTTTGATGGGTTTCATTTAACTTCCCTAACTTAGATACCCGAAGCAGGATGGCACTCCTTCCTGTCTGCCATGTCTCCTCTTCACCTGCACTTTCCTCCTCTGTCAGGTATTTTGTTAAAGTGGCCTGGGCCTGGACAGTCTGTCTTCTCCTGCCTTTCATTGCCCTCACCAACTACCACCTGACGGGCAAGGCCGGCCTGGTCCTGCGGCGGTTGAGCACCCTGCTTGTGGGCACAGCCATCTGGTACGTCTGCACCGCCCTCTTCTCCAACATCGAGCACTACACAGGCAACTGCTACCAGTCCCCAGCCCTGGAGGGCATCAGACAGGAGCATCGGAGCAAGCAGCAATGCCACCGGGAAGGGGGCTTCTGGCACGGCTTTGACATCTCCGGCCACTCCTTCCTACTGACCTTCTGTGCACTCATGATCGTGGAGGAGATGGCCGTGTTGCATGAGGTGAAGACGGATCGCAGCCACCACCTCCACACTGCCATCACCACCCTGGTTGTCGCCCTGGGCTTCCTGACCTTCATCTGGGTATGGATGTTTCTGTGCACAGCCGTATATTTCCACGACTTGATCCAGAAGGTGTTTGGTACCTTTTTTGGTTTGCTGGGCTGGTACGGGACATATGGGTACTGGTATCTGAAGTCTTTCTCTCCAGGACTTCCTCCCCAGAGCTCTAGTTTGACTCTGAAGCAAGATACTTACAAGAAATAAAAGAGAGACACTTGGGGACAGGAGGACAATGGCTGATAGACTTCCCACCTACCTTGTCCAGTGACTGGCTGAACTCTCGGTCCCACTTCCGAGAGGATGCTTATTAGGCCTTTTGGTGGTGGGATGGAGTCTGGGAACCACGTTCAGTCCTCAGACTCTACTGGTGACGCCACCCATGTTGCCAGCACCCCATTCCTGTCAGATACTTCTCTCTGGCAAGACGCGACCTTAATCTGTTCCCAGAGGGAGAGCTGAGGCTCAGCAGAGGGACAGCAGACAGCCTCATCGTGTGGGTCACAGGGAAACCAGAGCTCCAGGACTCCCGCTGCTGCGGTCCTCCTGGCTGTGGTTCTCTTGAGAGCTCAGTGGCCGTGTTAGCGCTGTCCTTTTAACAGTGTTTCCCCATGCCTGAGATAAGCATTTCTCTCTGGCAGGTTCTTTGTTAAACACCCCGATGCCTACAGCACACTCTCTGGCTGTAGTATCCACCTCCTCTTTGGAATATTGACAGTTGCACCTGGCTATGACCAGTTCTCAACAGGGGGCCACAACCCTGCAGTGCCTGGATGACTTTTATGTGGTGGACAATGATGAGATTTTTCTGTCCCCACTGTCTGTCGTTGCGTGTTGGTGTTTGGAGCAGTCCCGGAGAACCCCATTTCCCCTCCTTTCCTTGAGTGAGTGCTGTGTGGCTTCTAATTGTCACTATGACGTTTGTTCTTTGGTGACAATGCTCCGGTACTGCACTCCGGTACATGCGGAAATTGTTTGGGGTTTTTTTGTTTTTGTTTTTTAGAACACTAACTTACCTTTTATAAACCAAACTTTTGGCTTATTGCATTAAATTTCACCTCATAGGATTGTTCCCTCTGTTAAGAATAAAGCTGGAGCCAGGGGTCATGGTGCTGCATGCCTTTAATCCCAGCACTAGGGAGGCAGAGGCAGGCAGATCTCTGTGAGTCTAAGGCCAGCCTGGTCTACAGAGCGAGCTCCAGACCAGCCAGGGCTGCAGGGTGAGAGCCTGTCTCAAACAAAACAAACAAAGAAACAAAAACAAGAATAAAACTGAAAAGGAGACATTTTATCATTTAATGATTTTTGAGCTGAGAGAGTCATTCTGTAAAGTGTTTGTTGGTACTGAGGCCTTCCTGCCCACCTGCCGGTGGTAGAGACAGAATAGAGTTCAGGGTCATAGGTTCATAGGACAAGTACCACCGACAAGGAATTTTTACCCTTGGAGAGGATTATGATAATTTAGAAGTGAAATAAAATGTCTCCCTCTGAAGCCATGCCACCTTAACTGTATTACATAGTGGCATGACTTGGTCCTGCCTCCTTTTCCTTGTCCCACCAACAGAGCAGCCCTAAAAGGGGACATTCAATAGCCAGGGCATTCTCTTTGCAGCCCTTCCGGTTTCCAGTCATTATGTGGCCTTCACTGAGATGCTAGGGTTAGGAGTCTTGTCACTGTGTCCCCCATGGCAAGCTCCAGTCTCTGAGAAGAAGGCCCCTCTCCTCTCCCAGGTGATCTCTCAAGCCTGTCACACTTCTGGATGATCACCCCTGTAGCTGCCTTGACGCCTCTCCTCCAGCAGAGCTGGGTAATGACGCTACCTGATAAGCTTTGGCCTGCCTGTCCTGACTGCAGCTCAGGTAGTTAGGTACTTAGTAAGTTAAGAGTAATTTCTTTTAATTTATTTTCTTAATTTAATTTTTTTTTTTTTTTTTTTTTTTTTTTTTTTTTTTTTTTTTTTTTTTTTTGTAGTCAGGGTCTCACTATACAGCCCTGGCTTTCCTGGAACTTACCATGTGGACCAGGCTGTTCTTTGACTCACAGATATCTGCCTGCTTCTGTCTCCTTAGTGCTGAGATTAAAGATGTGCTAATATTAAAACCACCACATCTAGCTACTAAGTAATTTTTTTATATAAGGATCTATTTAAAATACGTATTTCATAATCTGTTGAGTTACAGGTCAACTTGACCAATGACAATGTAAGATGTTGTTACCAAAGGGGAAGAAAAGCAGGCAGTGAGGTGTCACCACGGTGCTTTGGTGAGTTGACAGTGAACGGAAAGGATGTTTCACTTTCTGGAACTTTCCACCCATCTCCCCAGGTTAGGAATGGGCCTGGGGAAGATGGTAGAGCTGGTCACCAGCTAAGTCTCTCAGGCTTCATGTTCACACAGAAAGGAGCAGCCACAGGGGTCATCCAGAAGTTCATTGTCACATTAAGGCTCCAGACACTTTTCTCATGGGGTCTGACCGGGTTTAACCTTAAACTGACTACATGTGGGAACTCTCAGTTGCTCAGCGTTCTCTACATAGTAAGTATATGGACTAGATTACATGTGCTTTTTTTTGGTACTCCCCCACTTTGCTCTCTGTGCCAGGGATAGGAACCCAGGGCTTTGTGCATGCTGGGCAAGGCCTCTATCCCTGACTACATCCCGAGTTCCTCAGAACCCTTGCCTTCTCAGGAGTATGCCTGCCCTTCTGTGCCAGGAAACACGGAATGAGTGAGTGTTTGGGCTTGGGCAACTGTGAGATGTAGGTTGAGATGTTGGCATCGCTCCCAATCCACCTGACCAGTGTGCAAGCATTGCTGCCCCTGTCTATAAAGTGGAGGTGATTCTTTTAACACTAAAGGAAGTGACGTGTGAGGTGCTGAGCATGTGTGTTGTGGTCTTTCTCTTGATGGCTTTGAGAATGGTCTGGCTCATCTAGAGAAAGCAGAGAAACTAACATCTTTTGGGGAACACTCAGAGCTTGGGTCTCCTATTGAAATAGTCTCATCTTTCACCCATTGTCCCTGGGTGTTAAACATGAGCTCTGGGGACATCTGACCGGAGTCGTGCCATGCTGTTCTGCTTCCCGGTGTGGAGGTTTGCTGACTCGCTTCCATGTGCATCTGTCATTGTCCAGGTACCAGATTATATTTATAGAATGGCTCATGCCACTGTTGTGTACACACAGAGCCATGTGTAAACAAGCAAATTAAAGTGTACTGGAGATAATGGAATCCACATTATGGAGTTTGGTGTATTTCTTTCTGTATTTGTTTTTAATTTAATTTTTTAAATCTAACTTTTTGGTTTTTCAAGACAGCTCTGGCTGTCCTGTAGACCAGGCTGGCCTCAAAAGTCTCAGAGATCCACCTGCCTCTGCCCCCCAAGTGCTGGGATTAAAGGTATGTGCACCACCACTGCCCAGATTAACTTTAACTTTTAAATTTATTTGTGTGTGTGTATGTGTGTGCGCGCACACGCACATGCACACTATGGCACACATATAAAGATCAGAGGACAACTTGCATGAGTTAATTCTCTCCTACTGTGTTGGACTTTGAGATCAGACTCAGGTAATCAGGCTTGGCAGAAGGTGCCTTTCCCTAGTAGTCATCTTGTTGATCCTATTTTAAAATTCTATTTATTATTATTGTGTGTATGATGCATGTGTTTGTGTACACGAGCCATAATCTACATGTGGCAATGAGAGGACAACTTTGTGGAGCTGGTTCTCTCCTACCACATGGACTTTGGAGATCAAACCTAGTCCTTTAGATGTGGCAGCAGGTGCTTTTACCCATGAGCCATCTCACTGGCCCGGACTCAGACCACTTTCTGATCCTCTCTTGAATTATGCTCGTAGGCGATATCTCGTGGGTGTTTCTCATGTCTGGCTGTCTCACCTAAGTCCTTCGTCCTAAGTAGAGACATCTTTCAGCCTGCTTTACTCTTTTCTCTGTCGTTGGATCCTGAGGTCTGGGTCAGCCTGGCCTGAGAATTGTCCCCTTGGCAGAAGGAGAGAGGTAGGTAGACCTCACAGAAAGCTGAAGAACAGTGACAGGATACTGGGGCAAGGTCACTTTGCAGCCCTGGGACCCTCCGCAGACAAAAGAGCGTCCTGCCCCTTTACACCCACTCACTGCCAGCCTGACCTACTTGGCACCTCTGTGCAGTGTGTGTTGAAAGCCCTTCAGATCCAAGATTAGAATCTCCTCACGCTGTTTGGTCCTACAGCCGCAGCCAACTCAAGTTCTGCTGTAAGCTAGGTGCAGACTAGTCCTCCTCAGCCCAGGGGTTTTGACTCAGAGCCACCCCCTTCCTAGCTAAAGTGGCGTGCTGGGATTGTAAAGATGAATGTGGTAAAGGTCTGCATTTCAGGAAAGAGAGCCCATGCTACCAAGTGTTCTGAGTGTTGGTGCAAGGTCAGGACCTGGGAACACTGAACGCAGATCCTGCTGCCCTGGGGATCCAGGAACACGTTCATAGGAGGTAAGGTTCCTTTTGGTCAGGAAAGATGGAGAAGAATTCAAACACTCCCACAGGAAAAGAAAGCCAAGGCAGGAACGGCACACACAGTCATGTAGATAGTTCCAGGACTTCTGTCCAGAGGGAGGGCCTAACTTTCCTCATCTTCAAAAGCCCTGGAGACTGAAGAAAGACTTAGGCAATTGGTGGAACCTGGAGGCGTGCCTTGCTTAGATCCAAATGGCTCTGGGCTCGATTAGAATGCCTGGCTTGGGCAGGTTCCACCACTGCTTTTTCTGCTGTTCTGTGATCTTGAACTAGTAACAGCATCTCTGGGCCTCAGTCTCCTCATCTGATAAGCAATGGGTAGACTGGAGAGCCTTGGTAACCCTGGGGTCTGCTCTATTCTCTGTTTCTCTGTTTTGCTTGGTGAAAAGTTCCTCCCGAGCTCGTTAGGACTTATTTTAGGAAACAACGTGAAAAGAAACTCCCACTTGCGTTAAGTGGCAGCTGGCTTCCCAGTGAATGACAGGGAGCAAGCTTTGGGTTGCAGCTGCCCACCGCCCACCTCCTTTTTCTCCATGTGGACATCCGGATGAGTTCTGACATGAACCCTTGGGCCCACACGGGCTTCCTCAGCACAGGGAAGCAAACCTAATTCCCAGCTTAGACACCACTGGGAGTGTTCTAATAACCTCTGGGGAATGTCTGGGGAGTTTTACCGTTGAACACACAGTGCAGAGCACAGACACTGTCGTGCCTTAGGGAAAGGGTGGCAGATTGGCACCACCCGTACAAATGATGACCAGGCAGTGCTCACACTTCATGCATGCAGATCTAACCATCTCAAGGTAAGGGTTGTGCTGTGAAACACAGGAAGACTTCATGACAGCTACCTGAAAAAATGTCAAGAACTCGGATGCTAATTAGTCACATAATGATTGTAGTTCCTTACTAATAATTGAACACACAAAGAATGAATGATGTATGTAGTGTCAGCTGTGAAGGCAGAAGGTCTGGGCTGTGTGTCCTTGGTCAGGTCAACCTCTAAGCCTATTTCTGGAGTTCAAACTGGGTGCCTGGTTTCACTCAGCAGACAGCTGGAAGGAGAGGAGCCCCCGTGAACTGAGATCCAGGCATAGGGGACACAGCCTTCTGTGGGACATGGACTAGCCTTCTGTGAGTGTTACGGACTGGGCAGACAATGGAATGAGTGACCCCAACCGTGCATGGACCATCCAGAGCAGAGTGTTCCTCAGTCTGGGACAAATAACTGAGAAGAATAACGTATAAGCAAAGAAAGAAAGATGTTTTTGTTCTTTTGAGACAGGCTCTCACTTTGTATCCATGGCTGTCCTGAAACTCATGGAGATCTGTCTGCTGGGATTAAAGGCCTGGCTTGGATACATATTTGTAATCCTAGCACTTGGTAAGTGGAATCAGAAAGAGGAGTGCCAAGTTGTCCTTAGATACATAACAAGTTTGAGGCCAACCTGAGCTACATGAAACCCTGTTTCAAAACAAAACAAAAAGGCACATCCTCTGGGATGCAACTGGAGGGTCCTCTCGGCCTCACCGTCCACAGCTCCACCACCTCCCGACGATCTGTTTAGATTTGGAGCCCATCAACGGATGAAACCATTGATAGGCCAAAGTGCTCATGTCTGCTTGTCACGGTGCTTTTCTGATCTCACAGGCATCTCCTGATCCTCAGGTTGACAGTCAGTGTTGACCATCCCACTGCCCTGATGTCACCACCTAGTCAGATACACCCTGCCTAGAGCATTTACACACGAGGAAGTGAGGAATTTAGCCCAGAGCACCCAAGTTCATACCCTAGCTCCACCCAGCATGCTGGCTGTGTGAAAAGAAAAGAAAAATGTAAATACTTTACATTGGATTGGATTGTTTTATATTGTATACAAATTATATATATTGAAATTGATATTGTTAGAAAATGTTATATATATTTTTCTAATTGTACCGTTCATCTAACAATGTAATGCAATTTTCTGATCCTTGAATGTTATTACCAACTATTAGGATATAAAGAAATGAAAGTTAGTAGTTAGATATTATAATAGAACTTGTAGTTATATTAGGTATGTTTTCAAGATTGAGTAGATATATTTTAGATAGACAGGTTATCTTCAAACCCTTCAGAGATCTACAGAATATGGCATTTAAAATGTTTTAATAACTTAGAAAATTTTTCTTTTTTGTTATGACTATGAGACATGTCGGCTCCTGGCAGTACCAATCTACTTCAGAGAAAATATGGGCATTGAAGAAACTGCATATGGAGTTAACTTTCATTGTGGCAAAAGTTAGCCACTGGACAACAAAGTATCCTCGAATCAACAGGACAAAATGGACAAACAGGACATAAAACAAAGGATTACTGATTCTTGCCAAAACAAGTGTGGTTATGGCTTTATCAAAAGGCATCTTCAGAGGCCAGGACAATATGGCACCATCCCTGAAGTGGCCTTCGCAATTCGAAAAAGGTACAGTGCCCTTTTCTTCGAAGGCAGCTGAACAGGCAGTGGGCCGATGGCCTCTGATGTGCAATGGAACAGCAGCTGAAACAGTTATTCTTGAAGAGTAACTAAGCTCACGCCTCTCAATAGTAGACTGGCATTTGATGGAGGGATATGGAGAAGAATGGGATGCTGAGATGAAGCCATATATACATAGCCAGGAAGAATGGACAGCTGAGTTGGAAAACCATCAGCAATTTCCAGAATTTGAAATCCTGAATCATGACATGACACTGGTGGAATTCAGGTGTTTCTGGTACATGGACTACTCTCACTCAATGTGAGGTTGAACTGTTGACCTTGTGTACATCCTGCTTCACAAATGAGTCTGTCAGATATGCTAAGCCTATAGGCTGAAGATGATGCCCCAGCACTTCGGAGAAACCTCAGGTGACTGTCCAGACAGCTGTCTGTTTCTGTCAACTCACAAATTTTTTGGAAGTTGCTTATGTGCACTTCCTGTTTTTATTTTTGTTAGCTAATATTATTTCCTTCTTGGGTCTCTGAGGGAGTTGAAGATTAGTTAGTTATAGTTGAAGGTTAGTTAGTTATAGTTGAAGATTAATTAGGATACATTTTGGACTTACCAAAATAGGATAGATAATGAAATTATTTTCTCTGAATTTGTCAAATACAAATGGACTAGACATTGTTTAGGTATTTATTACTTGTATATATTGTGTATAGTTATTGTCCTTTTGTATATAGTTTTTCTTATATTAGTTATAAGCTTTTTCTTTTTTTTCCTTTTTATTAAAATAGAAAAGGGGAAATATGGTGATATTTTATTTGTATTAAAATGTTATTTGTATGTTAATAAATAAAGTTGCCCGGGGGTCAGAGCTATTAGCAAGCCATAGGAAAGCAGGGCAGTGGTAGCGTACGCTTGTAATTCCAGCACTTAGTAGGCAGAGCTGGGTAAGTCTTTGTGTGTTCAGGGATACAGCCATTATTGGATACACATGCCTTTAATCTTAATACCAATCATGGAAAACCTGGAGGCCTATACAGACAGGCTGTGAGGAGGCGGTCATGTGGTCGGGTCTGAGTGGCTGTGGGACTGGCGGGTGACAGAGATTTGTCCTGACTGTGGGCCAGGCAGGAAAACTCCAACTACAGTGGGCAAGTTCCTAGACCTCTCTGTGCACTGGTTTTCATAGGGATGTGGGAATGAATTAACACTGGAGAAGTCACAGCACTTGGGGGTCACTATATGAATGGCATCTGGACGCACG